TCATGTGGGGATATGCAGTGATGGTCAGAGGAGGATGAATGGGCCCGGGAGAGTAGGAGGCTCTGGAGAAGCTCACATGAAGGTGTGGTTCATAAATACAGTGAGGTTCTCCCTCAGCAGTGAGCACCACACCTACCCACCTTGCTGGTATTCGACATGTTGTCTTTTGGAAAAAAAAAAAATCAAACACAAAAACCTCGCAACAACAAAGCTCCCCAAACTGTCATGTTGGAAGCTGATGCTTCCAGGCGGACTGTGCTTTTTGACTGCGTGAGGATTATATCTGTGCTTGGACCATTAAGACTGGGGAAATGTGACCTTATGGGTAGCACCACAGGCTGTTTCCCGCAGCTGGTTGCTGTTACGTGTCTGTTGCCTGTGACTGTAATGAAGAAGGTGGAAAATAAATGGGAAGAGGAGGAGAAAGGAAAGCTGACAGTCTTGGGTCTGAAACCTGTTGTAGTTCTCTATGTGGAAAATGCTTAACTGCAGACTGTTTGGTTTCCTTTCTGCATTTGATCAGTACCCATGAGCTGATTTTCATCGTTTTTGAACATCATCATCTAGTTAAAAGGCTTCTTGATAGTTCTTTTTTAATTCAATGATGTTATAGCATCCATTTAATGAGTTTGATAAGCAGAGTTGTCTTTTTGAGTAGAAGTTCTTCCTGGCTCTGTGTCACAGTGAGTTGGATAGTTGAGCCTTCCTGCAATGTGTTAGGTGTGGTTTTTGTACCTGCAGATGTGGAGCTGAGGAAGCTTGAGGCAAAATGTGTGTGGGTGTGTTCTAGCTATGTCCTGGCTGCTCCCTGCTGATGAGGGTTCAGCCCATGACACGAGCAACTCGTGACTTGCTGAGGCAAAATGGTTAAAGGTCCTTTTAAGATGCTGCTCTTCTATGTTTGTGCTTTTGCACTCTGCAGCTCGTTTGTGTCAAACTTGCCAGGCGAGTAGAACATTGGCTGCATCTTTGCTGGCAGGCTGAGGTTGCAGAAATCCTGAGAACAACTGCATAAAACTCTTCTGGTTTGGAAAAGGTGTTTTCTTGTGGCACAGTTTCAGAAGGCAGAAGTGACAAGCTGCAGAGCTTCCTGTGTGTGCCTTTAGTTCTATTAATTGGAGCAAATAATTAAGATGGTGATTCTGATAGAGATCTGTGCTTTTAAATTCTGAATGTTACGTAGGATTGTGTTTTCATCCAGTGTTAAGGGCATATTTTTATGTTGGCAGTAGTAGTGCCTTAGTGCTTTTTCATTATTACATGTCAGATCACTTTGCAAAATTAGTGTCGTTATTCCCTTAAACAGATAGACAAACTAATCAATACCACTACCAATGTGTTCTGTCTGCCCCGGGGTGAAGGCAAATTGGCTCAAGCTCATCTTGTTTCTAAACAGATGCTATTACTATGTCAAGTTAATTTTCCTGATTTTTTTTTTTTCAAATATTTCTGCATTGTAAGTGCTTCCTGTGGTGGTTTATTTTCAATACCTGTTGTGAAAAATTATTTTCAAAGCTGTAATTTTTGCCTTTAGGCGGTTATTAAACGGGACACAAAAGAGTGTAAAACTCTAATCTGTCTACTACAGATACATGGCATGGTCTAATTCTGTGTGCAAGGTTTAAGGTTCTCTTTATGGTCTTATGTCCTGTTGTTTGTCATCCTGAAGACCAAACTACAGCTATGGTTGGGATAGAGCTGTATCCTTAACCCCAGGGGAAGCTAAGATCTGATCAGACCTGCAACTTTCTTTGTAGTTCCAAATAATCTTGAAAAATTACTGCTGCTGTGTGGTGTTACTTTTAGTTGCAACCCCATAATGCTGAGTGTGGATGAACCTTTTCAGAATGAAAAATTGGCCCCTCGTTGGTTATGCAAGACTTTTGCAAAGGCTATATGGGAAACCAGGCATTTGGAATTGAAGGAGCAAACTTCTAGGAAATTTCTGGATGACTTCCTTAAGCATGTTTCCTAGCGGTACCCACAGACCTAGAGAGCCTTTCGCTCCCACCAGTGAATGCACCAGTAAGAAATTAGTGGAGAGGACCCAGTTGTGTCTGATTGAATGGCCAACTGAAGCATCCTTTGACCATGCCCATATTTTTTCTGGAGAGAGATTACGATACGACACTGAGTGAGCATCTGAATATTCAATATGGCTTTTTGCAAGCAAGTGTTGTTTCTTTTTCCGGCTTTAACGGTTTACTGCTTGTCAATAACACAAAATAAGTAATCCAGTCAGATTTTCTGATAAGCCACTTGGCACCAGTAAGGACCCCAGGGTGCACATTCAAATTGTGTGCTTTTGAAAACGTTTGTTTGCAGAGATTTGTTCCAGAGGGCAGACTTTTTTTCTTATCAGACAGGACCCTCCTTCAAGGCGAGTTGCGCGTTGTGCTGTCTGTGGAAGTCCATTTGGATGACAGTAGTTGGTCAGTGACTGTCAGGTCTTAGCAGTGAACTTTTATCATTTCACTTTCAACCTTCTTCCTATGTAGGTGTCCTTTACCTGATGGAACATGAAGAAGAGTATGTTTTCACCCTGCCTAGTGCCTATGCTCGCTCAATACTTACCATCCCATGGGTGGAGCTTGGAGGGAAAGTCAACATAAATTGTGCCAGAACGGGCTATTCTGCTACCGTCACATTCCATACCAAGCCGTTCTATGGAGGGAAGGTCCACAGGTATGGGAATTACTGTCTTATTCTTGTTTACCTGCTATTGGATTTCAATGGAAAGACCCTTGGGCATCTGTTTGGTTCTTCTGTTGGAGTATTTTATAGACAGATACCTGAATTTCTTTTCCTATTAGTGTCTGAGATGACTTTGAGCTTTAGAGCACAGTTTATTGTAGTTACCCGTTTTGGATTGTTTAACTGAATTGGAGGTATTTCTCTCATTACACAAAAGAGAATGTATTCTTCCAGGTGTTGTTGCTTGTAAAAATTGCTATAAGTGCAGGATCAGAAAAATGTATGTTGAAAAGGCAATATTTCTGCTACACCAGCAGCTGCTTCTATGTGAGTCTTGTAGATGAACTGGTGGTCTAGGTGGAGCCCCTGTAGGGAGGAGAGAAGCGAAAGCAATAGCTCCCTATTGGAGACTGCCACTTCTGCACTGAAATTTCAGGCGATGAAAATATTATTGATGTGTCTTTGATACCCCTTTATTAAGGGTGTGAAAAGCCACTATGCAATATAGCTTCCTGTCTTACTTCTGTGCCCAAGTTGATGATGCAATATTAACGTACACAGACTCCTTTCTTGTCTGTAGCAGTGTCTGTGACAAGGCTGTGTTGCCTGTTGGGGTGGTGCATTTTGGAATAATTACCTCTGTTTTGTTTTGTTCCAGTTGGTCTAATTATTCTTCCATATGTGTGTCAACCATTTCAGTATCGTGTTCAGGCAACTACCAACGTGCGCTGTTTTCACAGGGTTTTTTCTAAAAGGTGTAGATTAGTAATTGGTGCCATCAGGGTGAGTGGATATTGAGGAAGGCTGTGCTGTATTAGTTTAATAAGTTAAAAACTTGACTTTACAGGTTACTTGATGTGGCTTGCCAAAACGCGTGTGTGCATGTTCGTAGAGAGAGACAGACACACACAAAAATTCACCCTGCATTTTGTTTTCCCAGTTCTACCTGTCTATTTTGCTCACTCTCAGACCAGCTCGTGGACCACTGAGGTAGCTTTAATCATTGCCTCTCAGCAGCTGACAAGTAAACTTGTAGAGCTAAAGAAGAAAATAAAGGCACCTGAAGTCTTTGACATAGGTACTGGGCAGCATTATGTTCAGGTGCAAGAACAACATGTACTGAAAACGTTAACATGAGTGTTGGGTTGTTTCTCAGGCTGATGAGGTAACCAGTTCTGGGTGAGAGCCGAGTATCAGAGCGTTAATTTGGGTTACCACTGGGTTTTGGGAGAATGTCGTCTAAAAGCTATCGCTGTGTTAGCACAGCTTTCTTGGGTTGAGTCTTTCTTTTTGGAGACAGCATCACTACTTGCTTGAAAAATTACTTTGTAGACGTAGAAAGCTGCTCGTAGCCTTAGCAGCAGTAGTGTTTTTGTATGCTGATAATAAATGGTACCAGTTATTTCTGTGGTCTTTTCTTCTTCCCTCTTGAATTAGGGTTACAGCTGAAGTGAAACACAATCCCACTAACACCATTGTGTGCAAGGCACAGGGAGAATGGAATGGTACACTGGAATTTACTTACAACAACGGAGAAACCAAAGTGATCGACACAAACAAACTGCCTGTTATCAGGAAAAAGATTAGGCCGGTAGCAAAACAAGGCCCGCTGGAATCAAGGTAAGGGCAGAGGCATTACGGTGTTCTGCTTTTGAACCTCAGGTGGGAACAGAACAGGGAAGCCAACTGCCATTATAAATGGTGTGGTTCACTTGGTTCTCTTCCTACAGCTCATTAATCTAGGCATAAATAGCTGAGGCTGTGAGTTGGTTCTTTGGAACATAAATTACATTATAGTGACATAGACATCAGTTTTGTAGAGGCAGAAAACGCTTGTGTGCATTTTAATGAGCATTTGGAAAATGGTAGTGCAGTGTTTTCACCTACTTTTTTGAGTGATTGTAACATGGTTGTCAAATCAATTTGCAAGTAATGTTGAATCTTGTAATTTGCACTGGAATTTCATGTTTTATATATTTTATATGTAAAACATGGTGCAATGTGAGCTATAAATACACACACAGACACATGGTTTTAAGGCTCTCAGCACCCACATCACATGCCTGATTCTGACTAGGTACATTAGAAAAAAAACTTGTTCTGTTATTCACTGTCAATAACTGCTGATGCTTATCTTTAGAAAAAAATCAATATTTCTATTGAATTTAGGGACATTTTGTAAGAGGATTTAAAAACATGAGTTAAGCTTCATTTTATTATCTGCAAATATGTTCTCTTTATTGTACAAAGATGTGTCTTGAGTCATTGTGCAGGGTCAGATATCGTTTTTCTACTGTATAGACATGCTTGTTTATCACAAACTCATTTTTCCCCTGTAGTTCAGGAACAGAAAGGTTAGAGTAAGTAAGGAAACCAGTAGCTCTGCAGTGTATTTGTTGTATTTTTTGGACACTGGTAAACACGTTACAGCTATCCAGTGTTTCTGCAGGATATGCAGTTTATCAGATTGTAAACAGAAACTCATTTAAACACCCCTGGAAATATGGGAAAGCTTCAGTCGGTTTCTTCTCACTATTTTTCTGGGTAAAGTTTCTGTTAGGCTAATGCAGTGTGAGAAGGCGCTACCTCTGAATGCAGTCAGTTATATGAAAAACGAGTTTGGCTGAATATTGATAATTATTGTTAACTGGGAATATGGAGCACAAGCCTAGAAGGGCTCCCTAGAGTAAACTCCTCTGTTAGTAACTTCATGAGAATAGGCAGTGTCCCGATTTACTGTACTCCTGCCTTTTGGCTAACATTCCCTTATAATTCAAAAATGTAATTGCAAATAAACATGGAGGTGGAGCATCAATGAAGAATATGAACAAGAAATAATTAAAAAAATCCATCTGCTTTGAGAAAAAAGCTCAGGTGTGAATATGAACAAAATATGAACAAAAGCTATGGAGAAAGTTAACTTGCATGGCAAAATACTGGGAGTTGAGCAAATCTGAAAGTGAAGAGTCAGGAATATGAACAAAAGCTATTGAGAAAGTTAACTTGCACGGCAAAATACTGGGAGTTGAGCAAATCTGAAAAATCTGGTCCATAGGTGCGATGAATATCCTAGTAAAGTGATGGTTCGCAAGCCATGTGACTTGCAAAAATGGCACGGAGAACGTGGCATCGGTCTGCCTCTCTCCGTCCTGGTGTCCAGCCAGGCCGTCAGCTGCGGCACAGGCGTTCTCACTCTCCGTGTGTGCTCCTCCTCCGTCACACAGGCACCTTTGGCAACACGTCACCAGTTCTCTGAAAGAAGGTAATATTGATGCAGCGACCGAGCACAAGCACCGCCTCGAAGAGAGACAGCGAGCGGAGGAGAGGCAACGCCTGGCTCTTACGACGCCATGGAAACCAAAATATTTCGCCAAAGAGGTACGTTCATGCAGGACCCAATAGCATCTTCCTGCAAACGGGGTGGAGGGGGGTGCTTGCCTGTGTTTTTTACCATGGGCTAGTGTTGTTCTAGGGCCGTGATTTATTTATTTTTTTTTACATTCTATGCCAGAGTTTGAGTCTTAAAGAGCAGCAATTAATTGTTCCATGTCTCTTTTGTAAACTTGCTCGCTTTCCTTCAGTTAGATTTATTTCAACCTGAATTTTTGGTACCTAATGTTAGCCACCTAAAGCTGTGGTTTTTACCTTAAAATCCACGCCTTAACGTACAAGCGCTGTGTACTCACATCCTCTGCTAGTCTTGATCTCAGCTACTAAAATGAATGTGCTCCAGGGATATTGGTCCAATAAGCATGGACATTGTAAACACAGTCTTGGGTTTCATCTGCTTGGAACGAAGCTGATTTTACCAAGTTTGTCTTTGCTCTTTCTTAGAGGAATGGGGGAAGGGAAGTAAGACCGACTGAGGGGATTGTTAGATGACGTATCGTTAAGTTAGCCGTTGTGTGCAGCTATTTAAACCAGCAGCTTATCTGTTTGTCTTCCCATTGCTTCTCTTCCCCCTTGTAATTTTTTCCCAGATTACCTGTAAATTCATTAAGCGTGGAATTTTCAGATGACAGGGATGGTTTCTTGTGTTGATTGGTATTATGTTAGCTTTTATGTGGACATACACAGATCCAGGATGTATAAATCTCTCCCTAATTTTCTTGCAGGGTGATGGCTGGCTATACTTGAATCCTCTCTGGAAGACCCATTGACGGGATTAGAGCAGTTGCCTCGTAACTTTCCCTTAAAGGCATTAGAATGACACAGTATGTAACTTCAAGATGTCATTGAATAGGTCCTGTTACCAGAAGATAGAAACGAGAAGCTATATGCTGTGAATGATGCATCTCAAAATAACCACAAGCTCCAGTTGATTCAGGAGCCATTTTGTGTGTATGGATACACAAACACACATGCACACGTCCATGTATACACACATATATACACACAGGGTGTATGTGTTTGCGTGTGTATTATTTACACTACATGTAAACAAGTACAAACACTAACAGTGATTTAAAGACCTTTTCCTCTAAGTGTTAGGGCGTAGAACTCCGTCGGGACTCAGCTGGGGTTCCCCGAGTTGTGTGCTTGCAGGATCAGGCCCTATGCTAGTATTTAAGAAAATACTTTTTTATTAGTACCGGTTAAGGTTTTTCTATTTTTCACTTTTGCCAAAAATGTTTTGCACTTAAAATGTGACGTGTCACTTAATGGCAGTCTTCTGTCTAAACAGTCATTGAGTAACTCACTTTGACATAAGAATGATACACTGACAGCGCGCACGCTCGCTCGCCAGGATGCTGATGTAAGAGCATGTTTCCTGTCACTTAGGAGTGTGAATTTTTTGCCATCTTATAAGTAGCAATACCTTCTCAAGAACGTTGTTCGCGCTAACCCGTTGTGTCCTCGCTGTTTTCTTTGTTGGTACCTCAGCAGTTTAGTAGCTCTCTGGTCACCAGTGAGCCACCTGGTCATTTTGATCTTGCCATGTAACGTTCTCTGGCTACTGTCACGCCAGTGCTTTTGGGTTTCGTGTTCTGCTGAATCCCTTCTGGCAGATGTGGCTGTGGTGGGTGTCCCAGCTCGCTCTTGCCCCAGCTTTCCACCCCACATCAGAGGTGTAGCACGCCGTCAGCTGTGCCGAGGCACCCCTTCGCAGCCTTGCCTTTGGAGCTAAACCGGCACTGGTGCGTTCCCGCTAACATGCCAGGCTGTGCGTTGAGGCGGGCGAGGCTGGGCAGGGTTCCTGTCCTGCCACCCCACTGTGCCGGGCGTGAGCCTTCCCCACCAGCCAAGAGGCAGTCCTGTAGGCTGCTCTGGGAAATCGGAGGGAGCTCGTCTGGTCAGAGCCCTTGATTCCATACTGAGGCTCCAAGCAGACCTGTGTTTTGATTTCTTTTGCTTTTGACCCAGTTGATTGCTTCTGGATGAAATATTTGGACGAATAGAGATGATATAACCAGCCTTCTCAGATGAATGATTTTCTGATGTAAAAGTAATAATTTAGTAAATTATTACACTGAGAATATTAATGAAACAAATGAGATATAATTTGTTTTGTAAAGTTAAAAAAAAGGCAAGTGAACAGTCTTGTAGCTTGATCTTGGTTTGTGAGGTAACCACTGTGACACCTAAGAAGGTGGGTTCTAAAATTGTGTTAAAGCTTCGTTGCTCTTTAGTTCGTATTTGTTGAAAGTGAAGATGTTTTTGAGAGGAGTGACAAGAAAAGGCAAATGTAAAATGTGCCGACTTCTGCTCAGTGCTGCTTTCTGCAGTGCCCCGTGAGGAAACCACGGTGTTGCTAACAGACAGTAGCACGGCTGCCTACCTTTCTGTAGTACCGGTTACGTTTGTGCCTTCTCTCTGCTTTCCTACTCCGATCGCTTACGCTTTGTAGGTACCACACAAACACGCTTAGGTCAAAGCACTGCTTGTATCTGTTCTTGTGCGGCCTGCGTTTTCTGACTGATTTTTTTGGGTAGGTGTGAAGATCTCTTGAGCGACTCAGAAGGCTAAACGGAGGTGTGAACACAGGGAGGTTCGTTAGTTGTCTGAAGTGTCCGAACGAACATTAGTTGTTCGTTCGGACATCAGGTTTAATAGATAGTTACATTTGAACTTCAGATCCCTATTTAATGAAGGCATGGCTCCTTTTTCCTCCTAAATGCCATTTTGTCTGCTTGTATGTATTTTTGTTGCACATTAGAAAGATTCATGTTATAAATTATTTAAATCCTGTTTTAAAAAAAAAATGTGGACTGTATGAGCTTGATTTTGTAACTGACACTTTTTTTTTAAAGGAAAAAAACCCCTTATTTTTAGGAATAGTCAAGGTTTTTCTGTAACAAAACCAAATTGATGCTGTCATAGTAATCACTGAACTACTACTGAGTATCATCAGGAAAACTCGTATTTTATCACCCACGAGAATTAACTTTATAATGGATCCACCCTTGTTCTAGAGGTTAGACTGATAAGTAACCAGAAGTATTCACACAGTTTGTAATATCAGCACAAAGAACAATCGAAAATGCAGAATTAAACACGTGGAACATCCTCCCAGAACGTGGACTTTCATACACCAAAGAACAAGCCACATACTCACTAGAAATAGCCATTGAAGACCTCTCTGTCAGGCATGCAGGCCTGTGCTCCTGAAAGAGTAGACCTCTTTCAGCTTTGATGGTACGACTGTCGAGGCTACAGAGATGCTGTAGCCCTTCTTTTAAGGAGAAATTTGAGTAATTTTATGCTTGTAATTTATTGGAGATTTTTTCTGTCTGCATGGTTGGTTGTTTCTGCATGCCGAGAACATTCCACTTGTGCTCCGATAAATGTTCTGTTTTGTTCTGATGCTGTGAGGAATCCCCTGATGCCGTTACCGCTGTTTCTTTTCAAAAGTAACTTGGGAGAGTCAAACATAAAAATAGTCCTTTTTGAAAAGATCCCATCAGCGAGAGATTCCAGAATAAGATTCACAAATGTCATTTTGTTTTTCTGATAGTTATGTGTTCAGTATATTTTACAGGACTGATAAGTGAATATTCATAAGCCTTATTCCGTAGGTTGTTCTGATAGCTGTCTTGGACGTGCAAGTAAATATCTTCCTTTTCAAGTAGCCAATGTACACTTTGAATTGTAATGTAAAAACCTCCATGTACTCCAGATTTATTTTTTTTTGTGCACACCTGTAGAAAGCCTATGCAACCTTTTTCTTTCTTAAATTAGAAATGTTCAGAACGAAAATTTATACCTTTATCATTTAAAAGATGCTCTGGCAGTCTCTTCTGATTTGCCTTCCTTTCATAATTTGTGAATTTAAAATGACAATGCTTATGAATAAAAGATTTGTTTCGTTTAGTAGTGGGACGCCCTTTCTCTTTCCACGGAAGCATGAGTTAACTGGTACCAGTTACTGGGGTGTGCAGGAGCAGTGTACAGCACCCAGGGCACCACTGAGCTGATCCGCCTGGTTCTGACAGAAGCGGCTGGTCAGCTGAACCTGGTTTGTTGCCGTTGGGTTTTCTCCCTGCCAGAGGCAGTGTAGGTGAGTGTTCTTGTTTCAATGGGACAGCACCACGCAGGGAGAACAGGGTCCATCGCAGCTTCAGGAGGGGCTGGGGAACAAGTGCCTTATTTTGACAAACGGAAAGGGAGTAAGTTAAGGTGTTGTCTTGTTTCTCAAAATCACATTGCATTTAAACTTTGTCATGAACAGAGATTGTGGATTAGATACCTCTTAAAACCCAACTCAATTATTGCAGCATTGGTCAATTGCATGAGAAGGAAAAACGTGCTTAGAGGCTTCATGGATCCGGGTGTACATTTTTCAGGTGTTAGCCAACGCGGTTCTGGTTCACTTTAAACATGGATCCACAGCGCTGGAAACTGTTGCGTGAGGACACCTTGTTTTTGTGTGAAACAGAAAACACCACTGGCTGTAAACAGGACAGGAAGCAGTACCCAGCCGTGTCCTCGCCTGCCGCTGCATTGCTTCGGGGCCACGGCTTGGGGCAGTTCATGCATCTGGTTTAAAGACCTTACTGGCGCTTTTAGGCAGAGACCTTTATGATTTACTCCCATTTTTTACTCATAGTGGGATTAATATGTACCGAGGTCTGAGTCAGAGCATTCAACTGGTTTTTCAAGAGTAAATCTATCAAGATACTTAACTAATGACTTTTCTCCTCCTCTGTTATGGAATTACTGCCACAAGTCAAAATATTTCTTCTGGGATTACCAGTAATGCTGCCTGCCCTCACTGCTTCCAACAGTAATGATAAAGCGATACAGAACTTCAGCAACACTGCAGTTTTAGTTCCTTAGCAACTGAAGACCAGAGTCTAACTTAAACATTTTTTTCCCTTCAGATTTTATGTTTTTGTGACCATTATGCTTCATCAAAACGTGACTTAGTAGAACAGCAAAAGGATGGCTGTAGCTAAGGAAATCAGCTCGTATGGAAGGTAGGTTTGGTAACGATGCAAGATGCTCGGATTTTCTTTGCTGATACGAGTGTGGCTCAGTTCTCAGAGAGGAGGCAGAAGTTAGTTTAGCTGAGTAGCTCTGGGATGCAGGCGGAGAACCAGGGAACTGATGTGGTGTGCAGGCTGCTGTGGAACCAAGATGGTGACGTGCCGCCTGCCAGTTCTTTGTAACTTTGTTTTTTCTAAGTGGCTGCCTTTAAGACTCCAACTTTTCATTTAGATGCAGAGCATCAGCAGAAGCCCTGAAGTCAAACGGTATTTAAGAAAGCTCAGGTAAGTGGTAGGCAACTTCAGGCCCAGGCTGGCTGAGATGCCTGTAGTGATCTTATTTTTCTTCCACATAACACTTTTAAAGCTATAAACGTTGACAGGATTCACTTATTTCTGCTCTGTTGAGGAGAACACTGTCAGCTGTGATGGAAAACAATCTGACAGAACTGCAAAGAAACTAAAGATGTGAGGGCAACCTTGTGTTTCCTCCTTTTAAAACAAACCTGAGTTACTGCCAAACCACAGGCTGACCGGCAGCATCTCTTCTGCTGACTTTCAGATGTTCTTCCAAATGTTAGATCGCTTCTTTCTTACTAATGGTGAGGGGGCAGGATGCAGATCTGCTTGGAAGAAGCAAGATATTATAAATTACGTGTCACATGACCACCCTTTCTGCTGGTGGGAGAGCTGCTCAGCTGCTGGAAGGATTCACTGCAACACGTGTTTGGGAAGGAGGGCTACTGTTCTCTGAAGATACTGCAGCCACCTTCATTTCCTCACAGCAGAGGCCCTGTGT